CAGTTTCATTGCATGCTGTGAATCAGGCGTCTTCTCCCTTGCTTTGTGTAAACCAGACATCAGCAGTTCAAATGCCATTTCCAGCCTTTGGCCTTGCCCCTTTGCTCCAAATCCTTTAGCTGGCCTACCTTTTTTGTTCTTAAAAGCCAGAATGGTTGAAAACCCTTGCTTGGCCCTTCAACAACACTCCCCCAGTTTAGAGAAAGAAACATGTATTTTTGACGAGCTGCACGAGTGGGTGGGTTTGTGATGTTGTAAACTCCAGCCAATCAGAGCACAGGATAGCCGATTTCTGCTGCAAACTGGCAGAACTGGTTTCTGCCTCTGTTGGAACTCCAGAGAGGGAGTTCTATTCCAAGACACAGAATGGCAGGTCTGCTTCCCCCCCCCTGCCCCCCCCGTGACACTGACCAGAATGTCTGCATTTTAGGTTGAGTTGATCTCAATCTTCAGCTTACTCTCTTCTCACTTAGCAGTGGAGGGGAAGGAGACAGAGAGTAAATTGATGTTAGCGGACTGTGAAGACAACAACAACATTTGTATTGAAATTGTTTGGCACTGTTTGACTCGTTTTCTAGAGCTTGAGGCACTTCCAGTATGAACTAGGAAGGAGCCAAAGGTAGAGAATTAAACTGGTCTTGCAGATATTATGTATTCATTTTCAGAATTACTTGGCTGGATAATGAGAACCTGATAACAACCAGCCTTGTGCAATGGGAGGCACAAGACAGAAGTTATTTCACAAGTCAGCAGTGAAAAAATTGCTAGTGGCATTGCCCTTTATGAACGTGTCAGACTTTAACAACAGTTTGACTTTTTTTGTCGTTCACAATAAATCCCTAAGCTATCTGGGACTGATCGATTACTTAACGTTATGGATTTTAAAAGCTTGTTTTCCCCAGGAATCTGGTAAACTCTTAAAGCAACTGACAGCTCATTAGGAACAGAATGAGTTTAAAGAAATGTACACTGTCTTTTTGCTACAAGTTCCAATCTCAAAAATATATTTAAGGCAATTATATCGCTACGAGCATTTATTTCACTTTTGTGTAGGCCTTCAACTTGAATGACTTTAACAGCTCACAACTTGTTTACACAAAACCATCTATAGAGGCAATGCAATTTTTAAAAGGTATCACTGTCTTGCATTCATAAGTCGTCACCAAAAGCCCTAAGGAAGAAGATGATTTTGACCTGCTTCCTAAAGGATAAAAGAAGGGGGACTTAGAGTAGGCTAATTGCTTGCCTGGGTCAACAAGGGACCCTTTTAAGATTGAAAGCTTAAAAATGTGTATTGTATTGGTGGACAGCTGGTTTCCATCTTCGATTACTGATGACAGAAATGTTGCTTGAAGTTGATAAAAGTATTAAAATTAAGGTGGATGGTTATTTGGTCTTTATTCCAGCATGGACAGAATCGATAAATCAAGCTTTTAAAGAAAAGATTGAATGTGTAACTTTAACACACATCTTATATTTTAACACGATAGGATTTAAAATGCATGCTACATTAACTATATTAGTAATCATTACTTAAAATACTAACTTATTATCATCAACATGAATGGGACACTGAAAATCATAGCCGTGTAAGAAGGTGGTTAAACATCATGATTGTATTTTCTCTCGTCTTACACTTATTTTACAACACAAGTGGGAGAAAGTGAATTTGAATATCATATTAGTCTTTAAAGATATGATCATCTGGGAGTAGCTACATATCATGCTGTCTCTGCATGTCTGAAATAGATCTGAAGCAACAGGATGCATTAAATCATTTTTGGGAGGACAATGAAGGCTTTCCCACTTATACAGTGGCTTTCAGTAAAGATGTCTCAAATCTGTCCTTGCACCTCAGTTACAGGGATTATGGTACACATTATTTGGTACCTCTGGAGTCCATCCTTGTCTTCAAGTAATGCAGAGAGAGGTGAAGGAGAAATTTGGGCTTGCTCAGGCCTGCTTAGCCTGAGAGATGAAACCATATCAAGGAAACTTCAGGTCATTCGGAGAAGTGTAAGGTGGTCACAGTAATCAGCATTGGAAGGAGAGGGAAGCATCAAGGACCTAAGGAACATATGAGGGACAAGTCATGCATGAAAAGTTTTGCTTTAAAGAATAAGACTGTATTATACAGGGAATGGAATAAATCACCCATATGAGATATGAATACAATCTTGTTGCAATTTGCACATTTCAGCTCAGAGCTTCAGGTAGAGTTGGCTCAGGTAGGAATAATATTATGAAATACATTACTTCTAACTAAATACAGCATTAGTTTGCTGAAGTCAGATGAATAAATGGGACTTTCCTAGAACTGTTCTGATATTGTTCTAACTATTCTCAAGATCAGAGGTGAGATTCAAATATGTGAACAACTGTGGATGGCACTTCTGGAAATCCATTCTGGGCCTGGGCAACAAAATATTAGCTACCGGTTCTGCCGAAGTGGTGCAAACTGGCTGAATCCAACCACTGCTCAAGATGCTTTCACCTTAAAACAATTCTTCTGAGTTTAAATCAGATGTTTTGTACTTTCAAGGGCAAAATGCATTTGGAATGGTAGCAATAAAGCCTTTGAATTCAGAACAGAGCACTTCAGACTTCAAACATTTCAAATGCAAAGTTATTTGTACATCCTTAATTAACAGCATTTGAGGAATCTGAATATACAGAAAACTTGCAAGATTCCCATGAAGACATGGGGCTCTTGTTCACAGAAGAGAAAAATAAGATATAGAATTGAGTCAATAATTATCTATATTTTGAGAAGACCAATCAAAAATAACAGGATTCAAGAAACTTACGTTTTAAAATTTACTGGCCACCCAACTCCAGTGGACTAGAGACGGCCAGCTCCAGAATGACTCTTAGTAGATTAGGATTAAAAAAAATAGAAAACAATAAAAAAGAAATATCTGGACAAGTCACATTTATTATACCAGAACTGAGCAATTGATTTGACTGAGCCAATAGTAGACTCAGAGCCTTTGGGAACTAGATATTTTTTCTCTTTCTGTGTATATGGAAGGCTTATTTCTGAACTACATCTAGTGGACAACATCAAAAGAAAAGCACAATACGTAAAATAAGTTCAATAGATGCTATAATACAGTGGTATAGGTTTGGCCAGGACTGATGTGGAGTTCAATATTAAAGTCATTTTTATTATGACTGATGGGGATTTAACAGCAGGCAAAAACCCTGTACCTTATTTGTACAACAACTGACCCCAGACAAAAAAGGAATTTTAAAAATTAAAATAAAAAGTATTCTTAAAGCTAGATAGCAAGGTGTTTGGGAAGTAGGTAGAATCTTAAAACAGAGGTTGATGCTTCTGTGACAAAAAGCAACATGACTAAGATGCCCACAAAATTAAATACAGATTATTTACAGCTGAAATCACACAATAGTACCAAAACTCACAAGATCCCATGAAATGTTAGCATAGGTGTTCATACAAGGTTGGACAAACTTGTGAGATTGCAGTTGGAACTAACCAACTGGTGAACCCACAATCATGATTTCAACTTTAAAAAGTTCACCACCCAGGATTTTTAAACAATAACTAATAACTAATATGACAAAGCAAATCTCATGTGACCAGGGATGTTTGATTGCTAACATTTGGATCCCATAATTTAATCTTCCCCTGGGCCTTATCAGTGGAGTACATGTGCTATGAGGCAAGGAAGAAAAGCAATTGGATATTAAACTAGATGCTAGGGATTTGACATACAGTTCAATAATTTATCTTATATGCCCATGCTCCCCAAATATAATCTTTCACATTACTAATTGATCCAAAATGGTACGTATTCATTAGCCCTCAAGAGCAAGCCCATGGAAAAGATGAGAAATGAGGTGTGCAAACGTAGGAGGGATTTCAGATTGCCACCATTACAATCTACTTTCAGGTTGCATTCTGTACAGAATTCTCTTAATATTATTAAGAACAGTATAAGCAACATAAACAACGTGGCCTATGAAATATAAATCTGTACAACAGCACTATAGACGACTCTATATCAAACAACTGAACAAAGCAGTTGGAACAGACACACAGATAAATTATGGATTTGAAATGGAGCCATTTTATTTTTTGAGCTAAGTCAATCATGAAAAAGTGATATTTCATTGCAGGCAACCTTTCAGGAAATTAAGATAAGATGATAAGATAGATAAGATAAGATAGATAAGATGATAAGATAAGATGATGACAAGATAAGATAAGATGATAAGATAACCTTTATTGTCATTTTTTTTACTGTGGGCACAATGGCACATATCAAAAATGAAATTTAGTTGCCCGCTCTCAAAGTGAAACACATACATGACACACACTTAAACATACTATGAACAACATATATACAGACCCACATCCCTACATATATGTAGCAAATAAATACTAAATACTGTCCATCTTGAATATATAACAGAAGGAGGAAGCTTGAGAGTTCACAAGGTTAATGGTGTATGGGATGAAACTATGGCTAAGGTAATTGTTTTTTACTTTTCTCTTGTCCCCCCAACTGAACATGTCCACAACATCCACTTGGAGGGCCTTTTCATATATAAGTAGCTACAGAAGCAAAGTTCCCTTTCTACATGAGCCCTACCCATTGACCTCCCATGTTGAGTCTGGAGAGCAGGACAGGAAATGGTAGTTGTGAGCAATCCCCTGGATCGCTAAGCACTGGGGAGACTTGAGGACCCATTTCACCCTTTATGAAACCCAAATCTTCCCAGTAGTTGGGGAGCTGACTACCCATTTTGGGGACTCAGTCCTTATTATACTACACAAATTCTGCTGTGGTTCTTGAAACAGTGCAAATAGTGTGCTCCTTTTCTAGACTCTAAATTAGGATGTAGAGAACAATCCTGTATGTTCAATTCCCATCAGGCACTGTCATCAAAGCCAAGAGCTCGGGATCATGGCAAGTAAGGCTCAAACGGTCTATTCATCCCTATGCTAAAAGATACTGCATGTTAAAGTAACGATGTCTGTTATTTCAGGTATGATTCTGAAAACATTGGAATTCTAAAATAACAAAATAACTCAAGAAGAGACACCCTGAAAAGAGGCCATATAAACAAAGCCCCGAATGGAATATTTACTAAGCATGATTCTAGGGGTTGGTTTTTAAGGCATAGGAGACTTGGATTCAGATTTCTGACCTGAGTCCCAAGAAAGGCACCCTTCAACTCAGAGAATAAAGCTATAGATATTTGGACTAGAGCTAGACCAATTCATTTCAAAAGTAGGGGGCTGGAAGAAGGTGCTTCAATTAATTAGCCTTATATTTTAATTGGAAATGTTATTAAGATGCAGTCTGACCACCATCCTACAAAATGAAAGATAGCTACGGAGTATACCTTCCTTTGAAATCATTATGGTGAATGTATTAAGGCTGTGTTTCTAAGGATGCTTATTTGAAAATGTGTCATACCAAATACATTGGGGTTCATCCCCAAGTAGATCAATAGTTGTAGTCCAAGTTCTTAGCAGAAGAAACGAGATGTACGGTTTAAAAGGAATTTACAGTTCATTTAGATTAAAGGTTAGAGATAATTTTAAAACATAAATTGCTTTCACTCTCCCATTTGGGCCTGAGAAGCTACCTATCTCCCATTGTATCTGCCCAACTGATTAGATCTGGCTGGGTGAGCTTGCTCTGAGTTCCTTTGATTGAGAATAAGGTTCCCCTTGAGAGCCGCAAGGTGTTTCACAGGGACTTGAAGACTTGGCTCTTCTCCAAGCCTTTGGAGAGGGTGAGTAAAGCCTCCTTGGACTGTGTGAATTTGTTTCTCCCCCCCCCCCCCCGTTGCTGTCAGATTCTTGTCATCTTTGTCATTTTTTATTCTTTATTTGTCTTTATTGTATTTTTTTAAAACTGTTTTTGTGTATTGCCCAAAGTCAGTAGTTGGGCAGCATGATAGATGGATGGATGGATAGACAGAGAGAGAGAGAGAGAGAGAGAGAGAGAGAGAGAGAGAGAGAGAGAGAGAGAGATACAGAGAGAGAGAGAGAGAGAGATACAGAGAGAGAGAGAGAGAGAGACAGACAGACAGACAACCCCACCTAGAATTTCTAGAAGCATGCATTTCTTATTTTATAAATTTACTATGTGTACATTCATATACTATGTGTATTTCTGGTTTTTAACCAACTTGATGAAGAAAACAAACGTCTACCCTTGAAAATCTGGAAGCTTATTATTATTTTATAAATCTTTAAAAAAGGTATAGTTTTAATACAGGTTTTGGTTCTCACAAACCAAACAAAAACTTCTTTTAAGGGAAACTTTACTCTTCCCCCGAAAGAGCTGTTCAAGAAAGAGCAGAAGCCTACTGAATTGAGTAAACATGCAATGGCTGTGGAACTTTCAACTGCTCTTGTTGAATGTTCCAGAGAATCCTGGCATGAATTGAGAGAGAATAAGAAAGTATTCATTCCTCTCGGACAAAAGACTTCTAGAAGCAGGCAAGGCCACAGTGAATGAATCTGAGGAGAAACTCTTACTTTAGGGTCAACCATTTGGGGGATAGAAATTGGGCAGATTATCTGTCATATGTAGATAATGATCAAGAGGAACAAGCAATTCTCAATTTGCATGGAGAAATAAGAAACCAGGACAGTGCTACAGCAGTTTCATGTACACAAAACCAGGCTGGTACCACTTCAGTAAGACATAACGCCGGGCTTCCCATACATTTCTGAGCAGTAAACCTTCTGAAGGAAATCCATTGGAATTTCAACATTTCCAATCAAATATCTGATCAAATAGCCAGGCCTTGTCTCTGTTACTCTATATTTTGGGTGCTCATTTGCACAACTGTCAATCAGGTAAGGGTGAATGTAAATATCTCAATTATGAAGATGGCCCTGCTGTATTAGAATGAAAGATCTATATATATAAAAAAAAACCAAAACGAAACAAAAAAGTATCGGTGGCCATTCTGATCTTGAGTCCAAGCCAATTCTAGTCAGCAAGACCAATAGTGAAGGATGATGAAATTTCTGTTGGATCATAGATTTTCTGACTCCTAATCTAGAAATATTTTCTACTACAAAATGCTTGAAAAAGTGACAGTGCAGCCTGACTCTTTGAAAACTATACCTTCAGGAACTATACAGAGGACAAAACACATTCAAAAGAATTTCCCAGGGTGCAAAACAAGGGAAAAAAACTCCCTTGCATTGACCAAACTGACAGGAGAATAGGAATGCCAGTTAATGAGGATCAAATTACTTGTAATCCCCATGGAACATGTAGTGTTTAACACTGAATAGCATCAAAAGACTTCAAACTATACTAAAGGGAACACTTGAAAGAAATAAGCAGCATCCAGTTCCACCCTCTATCTCTTTCTAGGTTTAAATGGCATCTTGTCTACTTCAGGAAATTTACTTCAAATTCCTTCCTCAACTATTTATATATATACAAGGTTTTTTTAAAAGACATTGACTATAATTCTTGAGCTACCACTACCCAGACCAGAAAAACACACTTACCAGGCACACTGAACTGAGTGAATCTTACTTCTGAGTGAACATGCACACTGAACTGAGTGAATCTTACTTCTGAGTGAACATGCTTAGGAAATTTACTTCAAATTCCTTCCTCAACTATTTATATTATATATATATATATATATATATATATATATATATATATATATATATATACACACAAAGTTTTTTTAAAAGACATTGACTATAATTCTTGAGCTGCCACTACCCAGACCAGAAAAACACACTTACCAGGCACACTGAACTGAGTGAATCTTACTTCTGAGTGAACATGCTTAGGATCAGGCTTCAGGTCTTTTATGACTGCAACAAGCTCCAGAATTCCATCTGTCAAAAGGGAAAGGCAATGTCTAATGAACATTATACATTTCATTAGACATTTCCTCACAAAATGTCTAATGAACATTATACTCAATAGGTACTAGACACAGGAACATGGTCAATGGAAGTAATCTTCCCATAACCTGGGCCTTTGTAGATAGGTTGGACTGTGGTGACTGGGACTGATAGGAGTTGTAATCCAATCTGCCTGGAAAGCATCAGGGAGGGAAAGTTGCTGCTAAGGGAAAGCTTCTTGCTGCAGCCATTTTACAAAGTGAGTGACACAAAACCATGGCTTTGCTCAGGCAGAATTAGAAGTGGCGCAGTACAAACCTCTTCATTTTGTGCAGTATAAACCTTTTCATTTTGTGCACCTCATTTTTTGCAGGTGAAAAGATCATTGGCAGAAGGAGAAAGCGGCTGTTTAAAAAAGGTGCTTGAAAACAGGAATCCCATACAGACTCCTTAGTCTGATAGGTCGTAGGAAGCATTTACCAAATGAAGACATTACCAGCAGTATTCCAATATCCTGAAAATGTTTTAATGCTTCCTTAATTCCTGTATCGTTCACCTTTATATAATGGGAACTAGAGAGTCAGTAGAAGGAAGCCCGTGGAAAAGAACCTGGTCATTCAATGCCCAACTTACAAACACTTATTGTAAAACAACTCCATATCAAGGAAGCTCCGTTACACATTGAACATACTACAATAATTACTAATATTAGTGGGAGAAAGATATAGATAAGAAAAATGCTAGAGAGACAGCAAGTGTGTGTGTGTGTGTGAGAGAGAGAGCTTTAAAGTCAGAGCTGAAATATTCTGTCCAGTTTCCTTGTGAATTTAATGATGTTTATTTTATTTTTTTAAAAAGAGGGGTGTCAAGCAGAGCAGAAGCTCAATATTTAGACTGTCAGATGTTTTTAAATAAAGTAAGCCAGCGATAGGAAAGAGCCTGGGGAGTCCACCTTTCTAAAAATTCGGTGAAAGGACATTTTTTTGACACTGACATTTCAGGAGCTGCGCTGCAAGAAGCGGCAGGCTGCAACGCCACCTTCTCTAGCCTGTCCCTCCCGACGGGGGTGGGAAACCGATCGCCACAGCTCAGGCTCCTGTCTCGCCCCCGGCCAGATATTGGACCCTCCTTAGCGGCCTCGTCATCTGGCTCAGCCTGCGCTGCTTCGGCGCCTGCCATTTTCTGCCCTGGACCTGCAGCCAGGCCGCACCGGGGGTTCTTTTGCGACGTTGCGAGGCCCGGACGGTTCGGGCCTAGATCTCCACGACGCAATAGGTGGAGAAGGCCCCGACGAGATCCGCGCTTCTCCCTACCGCCCCCCCTTTCTCGCTGGCTCTTTCCCCCCTCGCTCCTCGTCCGCTGCTTACAGGTACAAAAAAAGCCTTTTGCACACGCAGCCGGCGCCGTTTCCTTCTAGCGCAGCGCGATCCTCCCAGCTAAGCTCGCAGTTCAAAGCCACAAGCCGCTGGGTGGATTTGGGGGGGGAGGGGGTAGGAGAGGGGAAAAAAAGAAGGAACGGGGACCAGGCGAAGCGAAGCAAATATGGGGGTGGGTTTGGGGTGGGGGGAGAATGAGGCCGCCTCTCAGGATCGTTACCCGAAATAAAAGGCAAGCGGAAAGAGCAAAGGTCACGGCAACGAGCAAGCAGCTTGGCTGGGCGAGTGCCCCGATCCCAGCCCAGGCTCCGGCACCGCATGGAGCTAACGAGGCGGCAGGAGAGAGAGATGCCAAAGGCAGAAGGTAACACTCGACGTTCCCCAGCGCGGCCGGGCTACAAGCCGGAGAGTCCGGTCCCTTTGAGTGTGTGGACTGATTCCCGAGGACAAGCGGGGCAGACCCCGCTGGGATACGGCCGCCAGACCGATCTTAATCCCAGCGAACGCCCAGGTGCCTGCGACTAACCGTGTCTTAATAAAGCGGGCGCGTACGGAGAGGGGACAAGCCTCTGTCGCAGGAGCATCAGGTTTAATTACAGCCCATTCCGAAGAGACAATTCATGAAAAAAAAAAAGAGTACAGCTTTGTCTCGTTTCCCCACCCCACCCAAGATACACCAAGAAGTTCATGGGCACACAAGCCTTTCCCGCAGAAGATCAGACGAGGAAGTAGAACGATTCCCCCCTTCTTTCACCCCGTCTCCTCTCCCCCCCCCCGCACCTCATCCCGCGATGATTTTCCTACTTACTTTCAACAATCCAGTCCAGATCATATCTCAGCAGGCGACTTAATCCTAAATCCGAGAAAAATCCCGGCTGCACTTGCACGTGGGTGGTGAAGGATGAGGTTAAAACCGACACGAAACACACCCGAGGCTCAGAGAGCAACCTACAAGTGGTGCGCTGTCAGGAGCGGCGGCAGCCCTCGCTGCCCTTCGCTTCGCTGTTGCAACAACCGCTGCCTGGGAAAATGGCTATTTTATGAATGGGAGGGAAAGGGCCTCTACTACGCATGCTTGTCCTCCCAATTCTATGAATGGGTGGGCACTGGAGTTCCAAGGCGCATGCTCTGCTCTCATTTTATGAATGGGGGGGGGGGCGGAAGGAACTCATTGAGAGTTAAGGATGACTATAGACTGGTGTTTTTCCTCTTTTTTTTTTTTTTTATGAATGAAACGCGGTAGCTGCAGGCAGTTGCGCATGCCCCACAGTACACACCCCCAGCCTCGGGCCGATGGTAAAGCTAAGTACAGTAGAGGCGGGGAGTGGATGTGCGGTTAAGAGTGAAATAAAGGAAATAGGTCGTAGTGGAATAAATATCCTTTGTCTTCGCGATCGAGGGCGGCCGATGGGATTTTTCATGAGTAATTAAAGGAGGCGGGTGCAGAGGGCGTAAGAGAAAGGCTGCGTGTGGTTGAACCTTGTTTCGGATCCTTTTGCGAGTATTTCTCCTGGCTGGTGCTGGGCTTGTAGTGACCCTCCGGACGCCCCGCGGGATGTCGATACAGCGCCGACGCCTGCTCGCCTTCTGTGAAGGGCGGCGGCGGCGGCGGCGGCATTTCTGGTTATTAAGTTGAAGTCCCATGTATCTCGGAGACCTTTAAAAAATGAAGGCGACATTGAGAGGGTGGAAGAACATGCCCCCCCCCCAATCCCTTCACAAATCTGGAAATTTTGTAGGGCCGTACTGCGATCTTACTTTCTTCCTACGTCAACGGCTCAAAAGAAATCTGGAATTCCCTGAATTGGATATTGCATTTTTTTTTTCCAGTTAAGGACGTGATCTGCATTTCTGTGAGCCTTGAGGACAGCAGGAAGGAAGGAAGGAAAGCATGTATTTGAGAAAAGGCCTCTTAATCAATGGAAAACGGCCGAGCTGGAAAATCAATACTCATTCCTTAATCCTCCTTCCCACCAGCTTCCTCTTCTTTTCCCCCAGGACAGGATCGTATATAATAGCTGCATTCAGTGCATTTGCAAAGCCTGAGTAAGAAAGCAGGGTAAAGAATAAGTTTAACATGGAGCATTTGGTTTTCCAGAATATCTTCCCAAGCAAGAGCAGAACCCGGATCATCCAGAAAGGCTGGGCAAAACCGTGTGAGCTCACTTCTTCAAACTCAGTGACCTCCAGATGTGTGGGACTACAATGATCTCTAACACCCCCCCCCCCAAGCTGCCATGGGGGATAATGAAAGCTGTTAGTCCATCACGTTTGATCTGATCCATCATCACTGAGGTTTAGAAGCAATCAGATAAACCTGAAATGGGGAGAAGGGCAGAAGGGGGGGGGGCAGAAATGCAGATGAGTCTTAGCAAAACAGTTTATCCAAGAATTGCAGTCCAATCTATGGCAACACCTTTGTCTGGGAAAACAAAATGTATTTGTTACTTTCACTCAGGCTCAAAGAATATTTTCAGACCACCTACAGTCTGGTATTTCCCCCATTTGTTTGAATCATGAGAAATAAAGAAATGGAAGGTCCCTTTATTTTGGTAAATGTTCCCAGGTAAAGGGATCTCTGTGCTATCAATCAAAAGATGTGGCATTGCTACTCTGTCTCTATATAACTGTATTTGGTAATAACAATATTTGGTAAATGTTAGTAGATATTTGGTATTAAAAATAAAAGATGGGACGGAAAAATGGAAGATAAAATTATTATTACATTGCCTCTAAAATTCCATAAATGAAGCAGGGTAATTGTCAATAAAAGCCTTGGATATATATTTCTATATATATTGCATTGTAAATTAGATCTAAGCTACCGTATATGATCCTGTTTAACTGAATTCATTGCAATTCTTTTCAGAATATTTTCTTTGCGGAACTCTTTCTTGCCCCAATAGGGAAAGGTGGTATCTATAATTTGTGGTGCCTTTCATCTCCGTAAAGAGCACTGGGATTTAGGGCAGCACAGCCCTCTATCTAGGAACACGGAACCTCCTGTCCAAGTCAAATTTTCGTCTTAGTATTGACACAGAAATGTGTCTCTCTTAAGTGCCGAGAAAATTCCCAGGAAATTGGGATATAATTAAATTTACATTCAGAGATGATATTTCAAGAAACAGTGGAAGAGAATTTCTGAAGACTTAACTTGTTGATATGTTCAGTAATCTAATAACATCTGAACGTTCCTGTAACCTTGTTAAATATTAATTGCAAGTGCCTCTCATTCACTTTAATTCAGGAAGTAAACACACTAGCTCTCTCAGGGGGAGTGCGGGCATACAAGAGTTAAAGATGATACTTAACCAGAATCAGGGAGACCAAAAACCCAGTTCCCTTTTGCCTTGCTATAGTCCAGTGGTGGCGAACCTATGGCACGGGTGCCAGAGATGGCACTCAGAGCCCTCTCTGTGGGCACACGTGCCGTCGCCCCAGTCCTAGGCCTTCAACTGGGTTTTATAAAACCTTTTCGCTTTAAGCCTCCGCCACCGTGTGCAAAAAAAAAAAAAAAGGTTCAATCAGTCAATTTCAACTTTTCGCGGGGAAAAAAAGATCTTGCAAAGTTGGAATTGATTGAACTTTTTAGTCCCACCCAATCTGCCGTTACCACCACGGCCACAGCCACCCAATGGTCCATGCCCACCCAATGGGCCACACCCACCCAGCACTCAAGGATGCATAAGTGGGTTTTGGGTTGCAGTTTGGGCACTCAATCTCTAAAAGGTTCGCCATCCCTGATAAAGTTGAATCCAAGCCGATTCCCCCCCCCCCAGTTTTGTGCCTAAAGGCCTTTGGCCTTATGCCCAGGGCCTCATGACCTGAGAGGCTGTATGCTATGAAGATATTTGAGCACTCTGAATCCAGGATCTGAGTAAATGTGGTCACAACGACATTTCTTCCCCTTCACATCTTATTTTCCATACTTTTTGTCTGTAAAGACTTCTTGTGGATCTGATGAAAGTCTAAGCAAAGTTGCTGGTCAATATGTGCCATGGATAAATTACAGCGATTATTGCATTGAATTATCTTCACCAATTCAATTCTGTATCAGGGAAATTCAGATTCTGAATGATTTAATTAAATCACCTGCTTATTGTTTTCTAACGATCCAGATTCACTATTTTCACATTTGTATCATAAAACGGGCAAATGGCCACTCAGTTACTGGGCGACATAGTCTGACCACAATCGATAACCAGAATGTGCGTGGGTAGCTTTATTGGGTGGAGCTGATGCCTTTCTGGATATTACTTTCATACCATTTGTAGCTAGCATCTCTCTTTCTACAGTCAGGAGAAGAAATTGTTTTCTTTAGCCCAGCACACGACAAGGAGCACAACCGAATGGTGATATTTAGCAGACAGTGATAGTTAGTTTAGAATATTTTCCAAGCTGACTTGTACTGGATCCAATGATTAAATCAATGCTTTACAGTTAAATAGACATTTCCTGGACAGGATTTCACGGTTCAGCAGATCAAATGTATCCTTTTTGATTTGAGTGAAAATAGAGTGCAGAGTATGGCTTCCAAAATAAATGATTTGCAGACAAAACCAGAGTCATCTTTATCTATAAACAGATATATCACCAGTTCATTCTAGTAAATCAGTAATTTTATTTTTACTCTATGGACTTGAGGAAAGCATCCTGATTTTTGAATGAGTAGTTGCCATCACACATTGCAACTGGTAAGATGAGATAGTGGCATTTTATTGCCTGATTATACTAATAATTAGTCTCAATGGTCCGGAAATTGGATTGGTGGCTTAGCCATTACAATCTACAGTTTAAACTGAGTCTATGATAACTATTTCTCATTCTGTTTTTTGACAGGTTACCTAGTTCTCACAACATACTGTGTTATTTCTTTTATTCAGCACTTCATTCTAAAGAATCAAAAGCCTTTCTCCAAGATAAATTCACAGCAAATTATTTTTGGCTGTTCAATAATCTAATAACATCTGAACGTTCCTGTAACCTTGTTAAATATTAATTGCAAGTGCCTCTCGTTCATTTTAATACAGGAAGTAAACACGAAGAGAGATTCAGAAGCATTATTTTTTTTCCATGAAGGAAAAGTTCGTAGTATTCTGGATTGTAGAATAAATTGAAAATGGCCCTTGAATATTCAAAACGATGTGGAAATACAAGTTACTATTTGATATATAAAAGATATTGAATAGAATCAGATGGAGCCTGGGAGCAGATTTTTTTCAGATTAACACATTTTATTAAAAGATAAAACGCTGATGCACTAAAACGTACCTCATCTGATGCATGGGGAACATAGTAACCCTTCTGCTAGCAGATAGCTATGATAATGCCTGTATGTTTGTATAAGTTAAGAAATGCAAAAGGGAAATGCTTCCTTCTCAGGAGACTTTCCACCTGAAAGTTCAGGAAAGAAAAAAACGAAACCAAACCTGAGTATACACTTTGTAATTTGTTTTAATTCACATCAATTTCATCTCTACTCCAAAACATTATTTTAAAAGGCTTACTGATAACATTAGAATTGCTTGAATTTCTAGAACAGAAAAGTAGATCACAAAGTAAATATCTCCTGCGAAGGAAAGACGTTTGAGAACAGTTATGCAAAAAAGGGAATAGCTTATTTAAAGAGCTATCATTTTCCTGCAGAGCCAGCTCTATCCGTGGGCAAAGTAAATGCATCTTAGGCAGTGGGTGCTAAAGAGCAGGACACTATACAGAATAATAGAGCTGGAAGGGAAATTGGAGGTCATCTAGTCCAACTCTGCTCAAGCAGGAGACCCATACCATTTCAGACAAGTGGCTATCCAGTCTCTTCATAAAAGCCTCCAGTGATGGAGCATTTACAATTTCTGAAGGCAAGCTGTTCCACTGGTTAATTGTTCTAACTGTCAGAGAATTTACATGAAAGCTGGGACATGACTGTTGAAGTAAAGACAAGGATAGAAAAAGCCCGAACAGCATTCTTCAAAAGGAAAAAGGTCTTCTGCAGTCACGACATAAGCCTAAGACTGAAAATCAGGCTTGTCAGATGCTATATTTTTCCTATCCTGCTCTATGGAGTAGAGAGTTGGTCTCTGACTGAAGAGACTAGAAGCATTTGAAATGTGGATTTACAGGTGGCTGTTACATATAAGCTGGGTTGACAAGATCTGAAATGAGGAGGTGATAAGCCGCCTGGGAAAGCCAAGGGAAATCATCAAAACAATTAAAAAACAAAAATTAGAATATTTCGGACATGTGATGTTACACCCAGAAAAATGCGGCATACTCCTTTTAATCCTCCAGGGAAAGATTGAAGGCAAACGAGGTCCAGGCAGAAGAAGAACATCATGGCTTCAAAATCTAAGGGATTGGTTTGGACAAAACTCAGCAGCACTTTTTCGTGCAGCTGCTGATAAAAACAGGATCGCCAACATGATTGCCAATGTCCGATAATGGATATGGCACAAGAAGAAGAAGAATTGTCAGAGAATTTCTCCTTAGTTCTAGGTGGCTTCTCTCTTTGATTAGTTTCCATCCATTGCTTCTTGTCTTGCCTTCTCGTGCTTTGGGAAATAGTTTGACACACACACCCCCGTCTTCTTTGTGGCAGTCCCTCAAATATTGGAACACTACTATCATGTCACCCATAGTCCTTCTTTTAGCAGAGAAGGTTAAGTAGTTGGATGGCCCACAGTGCTAACTCTTCAGCTTCTCAAGACTATCATATTGTATGGAGGACATAGTGCAATTACCTGAAGTGAAATAATAATCTAATAAAGGTGAATATTTGTAGATCAGGGTTGACATGAGTGGTGCTTTCTGGGCTTGCTTGTTTTCTTGCAGACATTTCATTGCCCAAACTAGATAACATCGTCAGTGCTAGATGATGGTACCTAGTTTGGGTAATGAAATGTCTGTAAGAAAACAAGCAAGCTCAGAGAGCACCAAGGACCTTTCAAATAGTAATCTGTTGCACCTTCATTAACTACCAATGAGATATTTGGGAAGGAAAACAGTTGTCTTGGCATTGCTTTCCTGAATCAGTTTTAGGTATGCAGCAGCTTCTTGGTAGTAACCCCATCAATGGAACTGCTTAAATTTATGAAGATCTTAAAATAAAACCTGAAAAAGAACAATATAGCAATATCCTTCTCCTTTCAGCATGATAGATAGTGCTATCTTAGCAGGCCACCTTCTCTTACCCCTTAAACTGGAAGGTTGAATCCCAGTTTAGCTCTTTGCCAACTTTGCAAATCAAAGGTGGGTAGAAGGCATAGGGTGCAGCATAGGATGTGACATTCCCTTCACAAAATATAAAAAAGGGCACCAAATGAAAATGTGCAAGAGAAGCTACAACATCTGGAGTTCCCATTTTCTGGCCTAATCTGCAGATCCATGATCTATGTCTTAAATGGAATTGGAAAAATTGGAATTGCTTTCTCATTTATTTGTGGTCATCTGCGAACCTAACATTTTTCTGGCATGAGGAGGTAACATATGTTTCAATTTCCCGAGCTTGGGTTAAAACTAGAGAGTGGTACAAATACTGTCATGTACGTAGATGAAACCTCTGATTTCTGCTCCTGCCTCATTAATACCTGGTACTTATATCCTCCATGAATTACTCATGTCTGATACTTTTTTGGGGGGGAGAAGTGGAGGTTGCATAGCCAAATCCAGCCCCATGTGAATTCCATTGACCCTTATCTAGCACCAATTTAGTTTTGACCATTAGTTGACTAAATTCTTGTCTATAGGTAACAATGAAACTCAAGTACTTTGGCCACCTAATGAGAAGGAAGGACTCACTGGAGAAGAGTCTAATGCTGGGAAAGATTGAGGGCAATAGAAGAAGGGGACGACAGAGAATGAGGTGGCTGGATGGAATCACTGAAGCAGTAGGAGTGAGCTTAAATGGACTCCAGAAGATGGTAGTGGACAGGAAGGCCTGGAGGAACGTTGTCCATGGGGTCATGATGGGTCAGACACAACTTCGCAACTAACAACAACAAAAGAAACTTTTCTGTGTTTTGAACTCAGTTAATGTTCCTGGTTATCTCTGCCTGACAGAGAGCTAGTGCCTTGAATCACACCTTGAAAGAAACTGGAAGTCAGTGTAGCTTACACAACATGGACAAACTGAGAGTCCAGGATTGTACATGCTGCCACATTCTGAACCAGCTGTAATTTCTTTATGGACTTCAAGGGAACTCCCATATAGAGCACATTGTAGTAATCCAGCTGAGAAGCTACCAGGTCATGAATGACTGTGAGCTAGGTTTCCCGATCCAGGAATGGACATAATGGGAACACACAAGATATATCTATGCAACTGCCCTCCTCCCCAAAAAGAGCTGATACCTAATCCTTGAGGACCCCAAGTTGCACACTAGCTCTCTCAGGGGGAGTACGGCCATACAAGAGTTAAAGATGATACTTAACCAGAATCAGGGAGACCAAAAACCCAGTTCCCTTTTGCCTTGCTATAGTCCAGTGGTGGCGAACCTATGGCACGGGTGCCAGAGACGGCACTCAGAACCCTCTCTGTGGGCACACGCGCCATCGCCCCAGTCCTAGGCCTTCAGCTGGGTTTTATAAAACCTTTTCGCTTTAGGCCTCCGCCGCCGTGTGCAAAAAAAAAAAAAAAGGTTCAATCAGTCAATTTCAACTTCTTGCGGGGGAAAAAAAGATCTTGCAAAGTTGGAATTGATTGATTGAACTTTTTAGTCCCACCCAGTCTGCCGTTACCACTGTGGCCACGCCCACCCAATGGGCCACACCTACCCAATGGGCCACACCTACCCAATGGGCCACACCCACCCGGCACTCGACGATGCATAAGTGGGTTTTGGGTTGCAGTTTGGGCACTCGGTCTCTAAAAGGTTCGCCATCACTGCTATAGTTGAATCCAAGCCGATTTCTCCCCCCCCCCAGTTTTGTGCCTAAAGGCCTTTGGCCTTATGCCCAGGGCCTCGTGACCTGAGAGGCTGTATGCTATGAAGATATTTGAGCACTCTGAATCCAGGAACTGAGTAAATGTGGTCACAATGACATTTCTTCCCCTTCATATCTTATTTTCCATACTTTTTGTCTGTAAAGACTTCTTGTGGATCTGATGAAAGTCTAAGCAAAGTTGCTGGTCAATACGTGCCATGGATAAATTACAGCAATTATTGCATTGAATTATCTTCACCAATTCAATTCTGTATCAGGGAAATTCAGATTCTGAATGATTTAATTAAATCACCTGCTTATTGTTTTCTAATGATCCAGATTCACTATTTTCACATTTGTATCATAAAACGGGCAAATGGCCACTCAGTTACTGGGCGACATAGTCTGACCACAATCGATAACCAGAATGTGTGTGGGTAGCTTTATTGGGTGGAGCTGATGCCTTTCTGGATATTACTTTCATATCATTTGTAGCTACCATCTCTCTTTCTACAGTCAGGAGAAGAAATTGTTTTCTTTAGCCCAGCACACGACAAGGAGCACAACCGAAAGGTGATATTTAGCAGACAGTGATAGTTAGTTTAGAATATTTTCCAAGCTGACTTGTACTGGATCCAATGATTAAATCAATGCTTTATAGTTAAATGGACATTTCCTGGACAGGATTTCACAGTTCAGCAGATCAAATGTATCCTTTTTGATTTGAGTGAAAATAGAGTGCAGAGTATGGCTTCCAAAATAAATGATTTGCAGACAAAACCAGAGTCATCTTTATCTATAAACAGATATATCACCAGTTCATTCTAGTAAATCAGTAATTTTATTTTTACTCTATGGACTTGAGGAAAGCATCCTGATTTTTGAATGAACAGTTGCCATCACACATTGCAACTGGTAAGATGAGGTAGTGGCATTTTATTGCCTGATTATACTAATAATTAGTCTCAATGGTCCGGAAATTGGATTGGTAGCTTAGCCATTACAATCTACAGTTTAAACTGAGTCTATGATAACTATTTCTCATTCTGTTTTTTGACAGGTTACCTAGTTCTTACAACATACTGTGTTATTTCTTTTATTCAGCACTTCATTCTAAAGAATCAAAAGCCTTTCTCCAAGATAAATTCACAGCAAATTATTTTTGGCTGCTTGCTATATGTCCTCTGAGTATGCATATAACTGTAACTTGACTAGAAGACAAATGATGCTCCTGCAATAAGTTCAGTTTTATTAATTAATTAATTTTATATTTCAGCTTTCTTAATATGGCTCAAGTGATGATCTTGTCATATTTTGTTGTCATAGCACCTCACCGGTGGAATAGGTTATGCCAGGAAAACATGATAATCTCAAAATCATTCAGTGAGCTCCTTAAGCAACTAGGATCTTAAATCTCTATTGCTTCCACTAGTTAGCTTGAACGTGGTGGAAACAAATACAGACTTAGAAAATGGCAGTCTGTTGGTACAGTAACTTCTATGCTAAAAAGAAAGTATACATAGTCCAGGGACAATATGTTATAGTATTCTTTGGGCAACATGGGACTTTCTATGGTAAATCCATCTTTCATTTCATTGTCTAAAGTAGATCAAACTGAGTTATATATGATCTGAAATTGATGCATACCAATTTAAATGATCCATGGACTGAATAGCGTTTTATAGAATAGGAAAGATACTTATTTGCCAAAACTTAATCTGGAACAAATCAGTTCTTTTCCTTGAATTCTTAAGTCTATGAATCCTATTGTAGGCAACTGACTTACTTTCACTAGGCTTTTAAAAAGGAGCAGAAAATAATTTTTTAAAACAAGAGGTAAAAAGTTGTATGTGTTATTGCCAAATGCTTTTCCCTTACATATTTCTGAATTGCCCACCCTTCTGTTGAATGCTTGAGACAACTTAACAATGAACCTACAAAATTAAGAAATGCAGCAGTTAAGAGAATTCATAAAAACTAGGTGAGCACATTCAATTTTTTTGTTTTTTAGAAAATGTGGCGGAGAAAAACCTGTTCGTCTTGCAGCACCATAAAAATAAGCATTTTCATTACAAGGTAAGCCTAGTTTAGCCCATGACAGCTGATGTGTTAATTTTCAAGATACCTTGAAACGCTTTGCTGCTTTTCTTGCAACTGACTAATATATCTGCCCCTCCTGAAATGAGAAACAGGAACCTTTTTTCAAATCAGGAGATAAATCTACTGGGGTGTTTCTGTTGACTGAAGTGCTTCCTCTTGTGGGACTCTTCAGCTGCTGATTTATGGCTGTAGCTGCAAAACTAGATACTAGGAATGTACAGTGTAGGAGTCTGCCAACTCTAATAGCTCCTTCCTGTGCTCACCTGGAACTAGCTCCTACTGGATCCAAGGTATTTACACTGTAGCTATGCACAAATATGCCTTATTCTCATTGCTTGAAGGTTATCCTAGGAATTACCTAGGCTAGACTCAGCTGATACCTTAGGAAACTTCCTGCCTGGGTCTACGGGTCATCTTTCAAGATCCTCAATCATTGTGGGGCTCTACTTATGGATTGCATAAGTAATTGGTAATTGTTTCCTTAGGTCTGAGGATTTCTGTTGTCCTAGCTAGCATTTCTGTTGTTTGTTTTTCAGTGCTCATTCCAGAGCGGAACAGAGTTTCATATTTTTCATGTATGTTTTATTATTTTACTATTTTTCTTCCATTTTCTAAAGCCCATCTTTGAGTTGAAAGTAACTTTCTAATCTGCTTGGAATGCAGCCCCTTCAGCTATTGGGCAGATCAGAAATAATATCATCATAGGATCAGGTCCAACAAGCCATTGATATCTTTTTTTCCCCTTCTCCTATGATTGCCATTGTTGTAGTTTTCTCTAGTATTTTGAGGAATCAGCAATAACTTTGATGTTTATGGTGAATGCTCAAAGCATAGCAAAGAGACAGAGAACAAAATGACTGTACTGTAAACAAATACATCCTGCATGTGCTAGTATTAAATGTGGAGGAGACGTTATTTAACTATTGCAACTGGGATCTAAGCAGACCAAAACAGCAAAGATGAGAATAGCGTATTGCCTTGGGTGAAAAGGATCGAGTCGTAAATGGCACTTCCATCTTCCTATGAAGATTTAGGGCAACCTCATTGATTACATTTTTCTGAAATAAATATATTTAAATCAGTGAGCGAAGGTGTAACTAACTTTGCATAGCAGCCATCTGTTAGAGGGATAGTGGTATAGAACAAGGGTAGGCAACCTTGGCTCTTTTATGACTCGTGGACTTCAATTCCCATAATTCCTGAGCCAGTCCACGAGTCATAAAAGAGCCAAGGTTGCCTACCCCTGGTATAGACTTTTATGTTTTTAAGGTGCTATACTGACATTTAAATAGCTACTTTAGCAATACCTAAGAGTTTTGGCCACTCGGAGGAATTTTTTTTTTTTTTTTTGCACGAAAGTATACATATGCAGAAAAATGCTTTTGGAAGTCTTTTAATTTCAGAAACGTATCCACAATAGAAAGCTGCTCTTTGAAAACAAGCTTTCAGAGCAGTGCATGATTATAGTATAGCTGTAGTGCATACCTTAGATCCTAGCTACTGTATCCTTTGCAAATATGATAGATCAGATAGTAGAAATACTGTAACTCACCTTTCTGTAATGACTGAAATATCCACACAGACAGAAACAACACAGTCAGGAGTTTGTATATTATGTTAAACTTGTGTTTAATAATCTACTTGATTAGAGAATGGAAATCTTTTTTTTCCATTAAGAATTGTTTAATATTTTAGCAGGTTTTTCTGCTAACTTTTGACTGCAAGATCCTAGAAAGAGATTTGTGAAATATTTTCCAGGTCACTGTGAATTTTCATAAGGCTTAGAGCTACTGTCTTAGAGTTACTGCTGTAGAGAAAGTAGTTGGACAAGCCTTTCCTCAAAAGCTGCTCATAGATTACAGCTACAGCATCTATTACAGTATAATTTCCATAATTTCCAACCATCTTAAGTCAGCCAGAAACTCAACACTTCTAACTCCTACAGTGTTAAAAATAAAATATACTAGGTGCTATTTATGGATGATATAAATATAAATGCTGAAATTTAAAAAAAAAATCAGTCTTATGGCTGAGAAGTTTTCTATTTCTCACTCCTAGTTTCTGGAAAGATGAGTCAGACAATTGCTTTTCAGAAACTGGCCTGATTCTACTTCTGAGCTTCAAATCCCAGTAAGCTTGATGTCTAGAAGTCATTGATAGTTCTTCCTCTAGAAAAAAAAGTATCCTTTTCTTTTAAAGAGAGCTAGCTGAAGTCTCCATACTGCAGGATGATGGTTCTGTAAATATAATATTCCAGGAGGGCATTTTGTCTAAGATTCCCTGGTTCCTATAGATTAAGAAATGTAGAAGTGGAATCTATATCACTACAAACCAAGTTCTGAAAAGAACTCAGTACATTTTAGGTTAGAATTTATCCTTTAGGCTTTTATCAGAAATATTCGTCTGTGGTATACAATTAGCCAAGAGGATACAGAGAAGTCCAAAAATACTGAAAGCTTTTTTTAAAAAATCATTAAAAACAGTTTTAATCTTTCCTTTCCGTCTGTTTTAGATTCAACATTGTAAAATAAAGCTAAAAGTAAAAATAGGAAACAACAGGCGTTTTATTTCTAAGTAAATAGATTAGGACTGGGCAATAAAACTGCAATTCAGATAATATTTCTTTGGAAGTTAGTTCCACAAAAAATTGGCAACCTGGGGACCAACATTATCCTAGAAACTAGAATACAATTAAGTCTGCAATTAGAAAACTAACATTAAAACATTATTCTGCATGGATGTGTTTTACATAGCATGGCTTTCCCATGCTCTGAAACTGTGAAATAAAAAGAATTATATAGCTGGGAGGGATAATTTCAGTTATCATTCCAGCTTCCTAATTAATGCAGGAATTCAAATTAAAATATCTTCAGCATATATCTACACCCCCCCCCCTCTTTATCTGAAGTTAGGATTTTAAAGTGGGCCTTGCCTCTTAATGTTGCCATATCAAGGGCTTCTGGTCAGGGTCCCAACAAGGGTGATGGATTCAATATTTCATTCCATTGTATTTCTGACTGATGTATTGTGACATCATTTCAATCTCTAGGTTTAAGTGTCTTACCCAATGCTTTGCTCTTGATTTTTCAGTTTTTTGTTTCAGAATTTCAGGGACATTAAACAGGCTCAGTCCTCACTGGCCATTTTGGGGAAAGTTCCTCCCATTTAATCTACACTTGATATTTTTGTTAGTTTCCTTGACAATTTTTATTGATGCAGGCAATGCCAATAGAAGTCAAAGCCAGATATAATAATCGTTATGTTCAAATGGCCATAACTGGATTGTAGGCAGGTTTACTAAAAAAAAAACCAAAACAAAAAAAACCAGACAGACACGGATTTCAACCGGATTTAACCCGTCCAAGGGAAAAATGCAAAACCCATCATGAACACATTCCATGTAACAGATGAGTTTACTTCTGAATATTAAATGGGACTGTAAGAATAAAATCTTATCGCCGGGTTAGTTGTCCTGCACCTAGTTTGGAGCTGACCCGCCACTGGGACTTTACTCTCCTTACAGTCCCGTTTATTCAGCCGTTGCCTGGAGAAGCAGGAATTGGGATCAGCGCCCACCACTTTCCCGGAAAGTCATCTTTATCTCTTTACACGGAGTAAACTCCCTTCAACTCAGCAGGGCCCCCCTCCTTGTCAGTATCGTGCTTGCTCCCGAAGCAGGAGTTGCTCAGGAGAGGCTTACTCACAAGTAAAGCCAACGTAAAAAGCAAAACCAGTGTAAAGCCATTCCCAGCTAAAGGGTGCGAAAGAGCTGCGGCTCTGCCATACGGCTTAAGCGTGCGTTCCGAGGATGCAGGAGCAAGGGGAGAGCGGGTCGCTCCCCTTCCTAACTAGATCTTTGGATCCCCTTCTCGACCTGTCAACCGGTCCAGGGAGGAGCCCAGCGTGGGCGCCGGGGGTGCCTTCGCCGTCCCGCCTCCCCCCTCCAGCCTAGCCGGCTTGAGCGCTGCTGCTGTTGCTGCTGCTGCAGCTTTAAGGGACTGCAGCCATCCGTCTGGCAGACGCCGGCGAGCCTCACAAAAGAACAGGATGTTGTTGATTTGTAACCAAACCACAGAGAGGAAATGAGTGTCAATTTCCTCTAAACATCCCAACCGTCTGCCTCCTTCGCTTCCGCCTCTGCCACCCCCGCAGCCCTGGAGCGTCTGCGCCTGCGCCGGGTTCAACCTAGGGAATTTCGCTGAGCCTGTGGCTTTCTGCGCCTCGGCTGCGGTGTGCGCGGCGCTACTTGCTTCTCTTGTCGCTGTTTGAACCCCAAGTCCGGATCCATTTCTCTCTCCCACCCCCCGCTCCTGTTTCATGTGCTGTTTGCTGGGCTGGGAGTGTGGACCGTTTTACATTTTGTAAGGAAAGTGGTAGCACTTTTTCCAGACTACTGTAAAATAAGACATTTTATTAAAAAGCATAAACTCATGAGATCTGGTAGTTGGAAAAGCTGCTTCCAGACTCTTGATTTTGGGCTATCGTAGTTTAAGATGATTGTCCCCGTCACAACGCACTGGGGGATGGAGGCAGAGGGCGGATGGAAGTCGTTCGCTGTGTGAGTTTCTCTCTGCAGAGAGGGAAGGAATCCATTAGCTTTAATCCATTTTGTAGCTGAGATCTCACAGAATAACAGAGTTGGTCCTGCAGGAAATCCCTGAAATCCAACGTATCTTTCCAATAATTCAGTTAGGGGACCCTCTTCAGTGCCACTTTCTCACTAGTGTGCCAGGGCTGATATATCAAGAGATGAAGTTTTGGCCCTCTTTTATTTTTAAAGCAGCAGCCTTGATTAATTTACAACCACAAAATGAAAGATTCAGTTTTTTCACTTACAATGTGCCCTCCCCTTGATTCCATGGATCTAAACATAATCGGTTTGGATTTATCATAATGTACCAGAGAATACCAGTATTTGAGGAGTGCTTCGGTGCGCTCTCATCTTCGTTGTTTTCTTGCAGACGTTTCAGTATCCA